TTAAGGTCATGAAGTTTCACCATTTTGGGGAGCTATGAGCTGTCTCTGTTTTTTTATTCGTTTATATGAAATAGGAATTAAAGTTTAATTTTCTTTTCATGTTAATATCCAAAACAATTTACTGGAGATTCTTTTTCTCTTATGCTGTTCTAGTGATTTTGTTTATATTTTCAATGGATAGATAATTTTTGATTAAAAGATTTTTCTTGACATTTTTAATCTAGCTCTTTAAAACTGTTATTTTCCCCTGGCTAATATAATTTATGAGTGAATTGGGATTTTTTTCATTTTGCTATCATTTCCTTGTTATTGTTTTTGTGATAAATTGGGGGATTTCTTTTTTTCTTCTTCATTGGTTTTGAACAATTACCATATCCTAATATAGGCTTGCATTTGTATGTATCTTATTTATTAGTCTTTCTTGTTCTGCAAGTTTGTATTTTTCACTTAAGGACTGAAAAATTTTTAGTCAGTACTTCTTCAAATATATCATCCTTCCTTTCTGATTATTTTAATCCTAGAATTGTATTTGTGGTACACAACTCAGTAATTCCTCTAGGCAGCTGAAATTCTCATTTTTAAAATCCATTTTCATCTGTTTTTGCTTTCTGTTTTGGTAGGTTCTAGTATATCTTGATAATTTTTTTCATCATGTCTAATGTGCAACATTTTTTATTTCAGAAATATACTTTTCAGTTTTTTAATTTCAATGTTTTCCATTGAAATACTTTCTTTGATATTTTCTATTTGTTCTTCACAGTGTTCACTGAACAGACAGATTTTAATATGCAGTTTAAAATATTTATCCAGTTCTTACATCATCTCCTGATTCTGAGTCTGTTTCTATTTGATGATTTTTCTTCTGAATATGGGTCGCGTTCTTACTTTTGCTGTTTTTTTCTTTGTGAAAGGCTGTTATCCCATTGTGCACTTCATAGATATTAGAACACTGAATGCCTGAATTTATTAGTTGACTTCCTTAGATACAGCTTTCTCTTTATTTCATCATCTCATGGATCTGTATAAGAATTTCCCTACATACCCTTTTTTACAGGACTATATGGTCCTACTTCTGAGGCACAGCTTTGGGAGTGTGGGAGCAGCTAAACAAACGTTATTTCCTCTATTGACTGGGTTCAGGTATCTCCAAGTCCTGCTATGCTCTTAGAATTATTCAACTGCTTGTTGCTATCTGACTGGCCTTGGCAAATAACACCCTAACTAAGCACAGATTTACATTTGACCAAAAAAAGTCATAACCACATGTAAGTTTCTAGAGTTTCCTTATATTCAGGTCTTTTCTCTGTGGTACTCAGGCCAGTGAATTCAATTTAACACAGTACCATTGAAGTGATTTTTCTCTCCTTAGCTCAGTGTGACCACTGTCTTCTTTTGACTTTGTTCCTTCTGTGCCATAATCCAAAAAGTGTCTGCAGGCAAAAAGTCAGAATGGTTATAGAGCTGATCTTTTCATATAATTTTTCCTCAAAAATCGCACTCATATGTTATTATTTGTCCAATTCAAGAAAAAACATTATTTTAGATATTATGGAAAGAAAACTACACTAATATTACTTTTCTGTGCACAAAAACTGAAGCCAAGATTGTGTAAGTTTTACCATACTGTTTCTAAATCAACCAGATCTAACCAGGCATGGTGACACACTCCTATAATCCCATTCTTGGGACGCTGAGGCAGGAGGATTGCTGTAGATTTGAGGCCAGCCGGGACTACAGAATGACTTCAAAGCCAGCCTCAATTGCAGAGTGAGACTCTGTCTCAGAAACAAAACAAAACAAACAAGTCTGCAAGTCAATTCAGTCATAGCTCTCTTGCTAACATCACTTTAAAAATGTATGCTGTTTGTTTACAATTTAAGAAAATGGTCATTAGTGTAATTCTAAAAATTATAAGGTATTTCCCACAATTTAGCACTGAATACTTGCAGGGAACAATTGAAAGTCTAGGCAACTGGCATTTGGTTTGAAGACTCAATACATAGAAAGATTCTAATTACTGCAGTGAAGATATATAACTGAAGATTTGCAAAGAGAAGGATGCTTGCAGAATTAGAATGCAAAGTGGGGGAAGAGTTAGAGGTGAGGCATTGAGAAGTTTTACCCAAAGGTTATTGGCTAGACAATTATAATTTGGAGACAACTGTTATTAAAGAACTTCAGAAGGAATAGAGGAAATTGTAACTCAAGGAGTAAAGGAAAGCACTTGGCTGTATCCTGTGTTAGGGTAAGAGTGAAATCAGCAGGAGAAGGACTGTAGGAGTCCAATCTAGTCACATTGCATCACCTGTCTCCTATTGGTCCAGTATTACATCAGCATAAAGCCGTTATGCCATAGCGCTAGACAGTCCAGTCAGGGCAGACGGAAAATGTGGACTGAGGAATACCATTCTCTGTAAGTTGGCCCTGCTTTATCTGAAAGCCTTGTATGGCGCTTCCTGCACACAGTGCAACCATGTGGAAGAATCAGACTGGTATATTATTTACGAATTAAGTCTGTTAAATAGCACTTGAGACTCCTTGATATTAAAGGAACAATACAAAATACAGTCTGTCTGACACATATGAACAAGTGACACAAAATGTGAAAACCCCATTAGAAATAAAATAGGAATTGGTGAAATAAATGTGGCAGAGAGAAATTCATGAGGGTGATTGAACTCTTAGTCATTAATCAAGGCATATATTGATATTTAGGGAAAAAAAAAAAAAAAAACATTTCAGGTAAATCTAGCCAATGACCTCTCCTAGCTACTGCCTGATTTTGTGTAGATGAAGAAAGCATCCATCCAGAGAGAACTCAAATAACAGCAGATAAAATAACAGCAGGATTAACCCAGTGTGCTGTTAACATAATACGTACTCAGAAACTCCAGAGACACAACGATTTTTATGCCAGCTACCTAAACTGATCTTAGTAAATTCTCAATAACTACACTGATGTTGCTTCTGGCATTGTATGATGGAGTTTTCTTATGTTAAAAGGACCATTTCTCATGGAATGAAGACATGAGTACCTGATAATAATTTTGCACTGCTGACTCTCAGGTTATACCTAAGGATTTATATCCTGGGTCTGGAATAACAAATTGACAGTGCAGCTTGCTCTTTTTTATTTTAAGGTATGGTCAGGCTCAGCTCTGGGTTGTTTAATGTTTTCTTTATAGGGTACATAATGGTTCTAGAGATGTTTTTCCCACTAATATATGATCAATAATTAAACTTTCAAACATACTGTGACAAGGTCCTTGCACAGTGGAGAGTCTCAGTAGCTATTCCAGCTTGAGTGCCGCCCTCCCATATCCTCTCTCAGCAGACACTTATCACCTACAGTGTTTCAGGTGCTCACACCTAACCACTCTATCTAAGATACATCTACCAGGCAAATGACTCTTGTTCCCCAGTCGCCTCTACCACACTACCTTTATTTTTAACATTCATGACTATTTAAAATTAGCATATCTATGGCCGTATTTACTTACTTGCCTGCATTGGAATGTTAATTCCAAAAGTGCAGACGCCATTCTGTCTTATGCAACACTATAGAAAATAGCAAATGTCACTAACTAATTACCAAATCAATTTATATCTAATGTGCATCACTCAGTTTCTGATCCAGCAAATGGTGTGTTCCTTCTTGAAATTGATGCTTCATTATCACAGCAAACATAATAACCAGAAGCTTCTGAGACCTAATGCAATACCTGGCTTCTTTTAAGGATATTGGTAGTACAAAGTGTTATTTGAAATGTTATTTGAAATACTATATGTTCTAACAGTGGCATGAGAGAGAAGAAGTCTGCTCCTGGAAGACTATGAATGTATAGTTTAGAGGAGAATGAGTGGGTGAGAAACCAAGCCTCCAGACAAATTACAGTGTAAGAGCAGTGCTGTAAGGCAATCATAAACCAGAGAAATGGGAATTTACACTGGCAGAGCTCGAGTTACAAAGTCTTACTCTATGAAACCTCATACAAAATAAAGACAGTTGAACTTGAAAACTAAAAAGGGAAAGGGCTGTTTCACCCAGATTCGTGGCAGAGCAAGAGCTTGCTATTAAGTATTTTTGAAGTTTTAGAGAAAGAGCTAAAAGTAAGTAAGGCAGGAAGGTAGCCAATGATTTGGTTGTAACAGACTTTCTTACAGGGATAGTGAGTTAATATCCAGTTTTGAGTTAAATCGGAATTACCTCACTCTTTGCTGATAGTTGAAAAAACTGCTAAGGTGTCTTTGATTTGAAAATAAGCTGTTATATGTGGAAATAATAAGATTTTGCAAGTCAGTTTTTGGAATGTATATCCTAAAACTGTGGACATGGGAAATCCTTCCAGAGCCAAGCATGGTCGGCATTTGGTGAATGATCCCCATTTCTCTGCAGAGAGAGAAAAAAAAAAAAAAAAAAAGGTTTTTGAAGCCTATTTGAATGATACTTTGCAAATTAAAAGCCTTTTATATGATACTTTGCAAAGTAAAATTAATGGAAAGTCACTAAAAATTGTACTCAATCAACTGCTTCAAAAATTAAAATTCTGCCAATATGATGGAATTCTCTAGGTAGGACTCTGGGAACTCCATCCTCACAGATGGTCAATCATAGAAGTGTGCTATTCAAAAATACCTTTTTGAGAATATTTAGGTAATAAATTGTACATAAATTAAATATTCTAAACCTTTCCAAATATTAACGTTCTACTTAAATTTGTGTATTGTCAAAATCTATAAAAATCATCCCATAGTTAAAAAGACACTCCATACCAAGTCCTAAAGGCCCACACATGCACATAAAAACATATATGACACAACCCAATATTAAAAACAAATAGTCCCTAAACTCTACCATGTTAACCATTTGTTCACACACGGAGGTCAGTTTCATGATTCAGTCATTTGGCTTTTCCAGCTATTGCAGGGAGATGGGTCAACATGATCACTGGAAATTAATTCGGTTTTGCTGTTATTTTTACTATAATTTCTTTTGCTAGCACCAAGATACACAGTGGAATTGGCGTGTGGTTTTGGAGCCACAGTCCTGCTGGTGGTAATTCTTATTGTTGTTTACCACGTTTACTGGCTGGAGATGGTCCTCTTTTATCGGGCTCATTTTGGAACAGATGAAACCATTCTAGGTAAGGAATGGAATTTTCATGCAAATCTCTTATATTGTCCTTAGAAAATGTTCACTTGATAAAAGCTAGATTAAATGGAAGATTTAAGTAAATGACCTTTCAACTCTTACTATCAAAAATCTTTCCAATGTATATTACCACCCTTGAGTAAATTGGTGTGATTTAATCTAGATTAGCATTGTCAAAATAGAAAATAAGCAAGCCTTTTGTTATTGCTTGTGTCTAGATGTCCTCTCAAATCCTCATGTGATCATAGGTGTGGCTTTTCAGGGGTGGCTGGATCTAGGATTTCTGCTACTGGAATTAAAAAAGTTATGCTTGGATTGATTTAAAAGTGTGATACTAGAATTAATGTTGTGAGTGCTACCTGCCTTAAGGATGGGTAGCCTATGTAAGACATAAGGGACAGAAAGAGCTGTGATCATGGCTTGTTGCCTGTTGCTTGCTTCTTGAATGTTTTTGCTCTCTTCTGCCTGCCATGATCTGTTTCTCCTCTGTGAAACCCTTCTGCTATGCCACTACCTTGGAGTGAGGCAATTATAGACTGAAACCTCTACACACTGTGAGCCAAAACAAATCTTTCCACCTTTAGCTTTAAATGTTGGGTATTTTTTCTCAGCAATGAGGAAAAGTAAGATACCATACATGAAACTTAATTTTTTCTAATGACTACATTAAAAAAAAGTAAAAAGAAACAAATGACAGTAATGATCTGATTTTGTATATTCATATTTTTATTTTACCACATAATTGATATTAAAAAGTTAATGAGACACTTTACATTCCTTTTGGCAATAAAATACTCAAAATTTAGAATATATTCTACAGTATACTTATAGTATACTCAGTTGACACTAGCTCTATGTCAAGGGACTAGCTCTATCTCAAGCTCTATCTTAGTAGACACATTTTTGGGGGTATCTGTATTGGACAGTGCAAGTTCACACTTTATATTTGAGTGCCCTATCAGCCAGGACTATCAGCATCATCTAATAACAATAGGAAAATTTTATATCTAATCTCTACTAAATCAGAATCTACATTTTAGCCATATTCCCAAGTGATTCATGTGTGCATTAGTTTAAGAAGCACTGGTCTAGTGAAAAAAAATGCCTTTAAATATGAAAGAAGCCATCTAAACGTGCAGACTATGTCTACCCCATAAAGACTCTAAAGAAGCAGGCTTTTGGAAGAGGTGCACAATCTGTATTTCTAATGACTTATGACTTCTACAGTCACACAATTTTGGGAAAGATTATTATATTGAATACATGTATATTTTAACTGTAGTTCTGTTCAGCTACAATTTAAACACTGTCAAAAAAATTTACTTGATTTGTAATACTAATGTAGTTTTGAATGATATACTATGACAAGAGTAGGAATTTTCTGTGTGGCATTAAATGCTAACACATATATTTTGCATTGTTGTTCTGTTAATTCACAGTTAAATGGGCTAAACCTCACTCTTTCTCTAATAAAGACTCAGTTAAGTGAGATTAGATTAGGCAACTATATGGGTCAGCTTTCCTGTTGCTGGTACAAAATACCTGACACCACAATTTAAAGGAAAAGAGGTTTAATTAGGTTTATGTTTTCAGAGAGTTCACTTCATAGTTAACTCTGTCAAAGGCAGACATGTCACAGTAGAAGGGAATGCTATAGCACACATGCTTTCTTCCTAGGGGACAGAAAGAAAAACACAGAAGAGCCCTTGAGACAGAAAAGGTCCAGAGCCTAGATACAGACCTCAAGGTTACACCTTTATGACACACACAGACACACCTTGAAGTATGCTTTGCCAAGCCCTAGGGAGCTCCCATGGTAATTATGTCAGCAATTAAAGGCATAGAGATAAAATAGCCATTTTTCTGGAGACTGTCACAAATAGAGAATCATATTGAATCTGTCATGTAATTTATGCTTGTAAGAAATAAAACTGTCTAATATGCAGAAGTTAGATTTAAGAAAAAATAAGTAGTGCTATTAATAAACTCTCCTAATTTATATTGGATCTGTGCTCCTTTTGGTAGATGGAAAGGAGTATGATATTTATGTATCCTATGCAAGAAATGCTGAAGAAGAAGAATTTGTCTTACTGACCCTGCGTGGAGTTTTGGAGAATGAATTTGGATACAAGTTGTGCATCTTTGATCGAGACAGTCTACCTGGGGGAAGTAGGTATTTCAGATGAGTACAAATGACACCATCCTGAAAGGCAAAGGTGATCCTTCACTTTGGATCAAATGTGAAACTCATAGCTTCTATTTGTAATGTTGGATATTTAATGTGCAGTTTGTAAAGGAATAGAGATATCTTTATAATTAAAACCACATTATAGTCTGTGCACTTTTCAGTCTGACTTATGGTTTCAAAATATTTGCCCTTGTAATTTTTAAGAACTCTTTACCAGAAAATTGGGTACATGGTGGATGAGGACTCTATTCAAGTACCACAATGTTCAAAGTTCTGTTTAGTCACATTTAGAATTTTAGGTTTAGGTTGATTTCATTTGATTTGTCTAGAATTTTCTTTTTACAAAGAATGTACAAAAGTAAGTTTCTTTTGCAACCTGAAGTTTACTCAGTTTTGTTGAAATTGAGGTATAGAAGAGACTGCATCACTAATAACAATTAGAATATTTCCTTTTGTTACTTGGGCATTTCCTTTCCTTATTTTCTGACAAACTAGTGCTACTCACATCCTCCTTTTCCTTAGTTCTGCATCCTCTTTTCTATCAATTATTAATTGGAGATGTAGGGTAAAATGTGTAAGGCTATAGAGCACTCTCATAGATTTAAAAAAGGAAAGCTTCAGTTCATGAATATTTTAAAACAACAATATAGGTCAAGTGCAGCTGGTGACACCCTAATGATGAGAGTATTAAAACAGTAACAATTATAAACCTGCTGCTAAAATCCCTACCTGAAATTTATATAATGGCTCTTTGAAATTTATATAGTGGCTCTGATGGTAAGCATGACAAGCTAATTTTCTTCCTCAAAAATCTTGTTTACGTTAATCATTTGTTATGTGGCTTGGAAAAATAATATGTGGATAATTGAGACAAATACAGTTGAGTTGGATGGATCACTTTCATTATCTTTCCAGTCCTCAACCAGAGGCTCATCATACTTGTGTCCTATAGAAAACATCTCCTTTAGTGTAAATTTGCCAGGAAATCATGAATTATACAGTTAAGGAATAAATTTCACTCATTTTAATATTTAATTTACCACATCCCTTACTTGTTCATTTATTCACCATATAGTCACCCAACAGTGACTTGTTTACTATGTGAAGTGTTAAAGAAAAATAAACACTACATAACTAGGTAAGAGCCTCCAATAAGATTTAATAGTTCTTCGAAGAACTCAAGCTCTGCATAATTCCCCTTGCATCTCGCTTTTAACACATGACTCTTGAATCACTTTGGATTCTCCCTGCTTCTCACTCAATCCACTTTGCCTCTAGGTCTTTTTCTATGCTTACAACCTATGGTCAGCCTCCAATGAAGCTGCTTGGAGTAGATAGCGTCTTATTCCTGGATTCTCTTCCATGTTGCATTCCTAGATTTGAATTGCAAGCTTTTGGTACCTGTGCAGATTAAGAATCAAAACGACTGCCTCAGACTGTTCAGCCTTGATATAGGGCTCACAAAGACAGCATTACCTGGAGATGACAGTGTCTCTAACCCATGGAGGGGATTATGCAGTCCTTGCTAAGCATCTATAAAGAGAGATTAGTCTGAAGAATTTAGTGACAGGAATTAATCAGAGCCCTGACAGCAGGATAAAATTATACTGCATTTTCATTTTTCTACTTTTATTACTTGGAGAAAGTATTTGCCAGTTAGTGAAAGCAGACTCATCAGCTGACAGTTGCTAAAATACATGGCAAAAAAAAAAAAAGAAAATTAAAAAAAGACTATAAAGAGAAAAATCTAGAAACAAATATGGTGTCTAGAGCACAATGAGGTAGAATCACAGTTGGGAATAAACTGTTAGTTGAAGTATTATTGGACTGGCCAGAAGTTTTGAAATTCCTACTCCAAGAAATAATATTTCTCTGAGTCAGGGAGCTGTCCAACCATAGATAGAGACTTTCTAAACATGAAGGTTCTGCTCTTCTTCCCCTGTGGTAGGGAAAAAAATTTGAAATTTTATGATTTTGATTCTGTAATAGGTAACTTTAATTCTTTCCATACTAGAGAGTCTGTTCATTAGTGTCTAAGGGTAGGAAGAGGGACTCAAAACTAATTCCAATGGGCCACGCTATGCCACACTGAAGAAACTGATTTTGGTACAACACATCCCCTGTGGCTCAGATACTACTTTTGAAGACCATGGTCACAGTCTTGTCTCATTTGGAATTCTTTTGGGAGGAGAATATACTTATATAGTGTCCAGTTTCCCTTAGGAAACTGACAGTTACTGGACAGCATGACAGTTAGTAGACAGCAGAAAAAAGTTTTTTAAAATGTTCCTGGTAAAAAAAAAAAATTTAAAAAAAAAATTTTACTTAATTTCTCAGCTGTCATCTAAAGCCTGCTACATTTGCTCCTTGAGCCCGATGCTTCTGGAGGGTCCTCAGCCAAAACTAATCCCCGTGGTGTTTTCTTTCCCAGTTGTCACAGACGAGACCTTGAGCTTCATTCAGAAAAGCAGACGCCTCCTGGTTGTCCTAAGCCCCAACTACGTGCTCCAGGGAACCCAAGCCCTCCTGGAGTTCAAGGCTGGCCTAGAAAATATGGCCTCTCGGGGCAACATCAACGTCATTTTAGTACAGTACAAAGCTGTGAAGGAGACGAAGGTGAAAGAGCTGAAGAGGGCTAAGACGGTGCTCACAGTCATTAAATGGAAAGGGGAGAAATCCAAGTATCCACAGGGCAGGTTCTGGAAGCAGCTGCAGGTGGCCATGCCAGTGAAGAAAAGCCCCAGGCGCTCTAGCAGTGACAAGCAGGGTCTGTCCTATTCATCCTTGAAAAACGTATGAAAGGGAAATGGAAGGAGTGAAAAGAACCAGGGGTGCTCCTGGAAGGAAGAGCTTCCTTTTCATCACTGCCAGTTCTTGGTTTGATAGGCAGAAAAATAATTCTGAATGAGCCTCCTCATGGGGATAAATTCAGGGCGACTGCATGGCTGATTGTTCTGCTACTCAGGCAATACCAAGGTTCAGAATGATGTTGTCAAGTCTTGCCTGTCTCTGATGTCACTAAGAATGTTCTTTGCAGGCAGAGACTTGGTTGATAAGAATTCCCCCCTCCCCCTTCCCCTCTCCTCCCCCTCCCACCCGCTACCAGTCCCTCTCCACCTCTCCCCTCCCTCTCCTCCCCTCCCTCTCTCTGGCTTCCATTTTAACACTATGGAGCAACCTTGCCTGTAGATTTAAAGATCTTTTGAAGATGCATTACCTGTTGTCAGGAGTATTACAAGATTATGAATGCAGTTTTCTCCTTTACTTTTTTACTTATCCATTAAAAATTTAAAATATAATCAGGGCATACAGTCATTTTAGCTGCCGGGTATGTTTGCTCACCTTTAAGCATTACACCCACTTAGGGTGATAGAAAACAGTGTAACTAAAAATGTTCCTTACCGTTGATTTAACGAACGTGCTAGATTTCCTCCTGTTATTCCACATTTTCCCTCATCTCAGGTACTTAACATCATGTTTGTAAACTTGAAAAATAGATCTTAATGTTTGCTGTATTATAGTCAATTCTGAGTCATCTACAGATTGAACTGTATCCATGCATCTAACTCCTCAGTTCTTACATCAGTCACTCAGAGCCTACAGGTGAAAAGCAAAGCAGATGCTGTAGGTGGCTCACACTTGGTGCAGTCTGAGAGGAAACCCTGAATGGTGCTAATGGAGAGCAAGAAAGTAGCAAAATGCTTTTAGTGCATTTTTGACTTATGAAAAGAGCACAGAGGATGATGTTTGGCAATTTGTCTTTGAATCCTAGCCTTGCTAATGTGAGAATTGGAAAAAAGATTTCTCCATATTTGTGTCTCCTTATTACAAGTTTTAGCAGGTAGATTTAGAGAGGTCTTGAGAGGTGCTTTTAGCATTAATATTCTAAAAGAATTAATTGTGCTTCCCATAATTTAGTCATCAGTACAGATAATGATTTAATTCCAAATAAGCCCACCTAAAAGGTTACTGTCAATTAAACTTGCTTTTAAGTAAAATTGTACTACACGTCAGATTTGAAAAAGTCAGCTCTAAGTGCAGAATTTACAGAATAGTGTATATCTGTGTACATGTAGAATATACATACATGCATATTCATGCAGAGAAAATTCATACATGTGTGTGTAGATATAAATATCCATAATCAGTGTTTCTGTGTATGCACATGAATTTTCTATTTGGCTGGTATATATCATGACCACTGAAACAGTATTACAAGCCACTAGGAACTTTTACTTTTGTGCTGTTTTTAAATTGTGTTTGTACTGTTATGTGTTTGTGTTGGTATTTTCAGTTCGTTAATATTTGTGAATTCACAGCTCACAGAGTGGTAGTTGCCATTAGCTATCTTCTTTAGATGAGTGTCATAACTTACCACTGCCTACAGTAGGTGATCTAGGTTGCAGGGCAATCAGCTGTTCACTGAGCATCCATGGTCATTGCTAAACACTAGACAGCCATCTGGTATTAATTGATCTTCTGTACTATTCCCAGCAGGGCCATTGAGAAACTAAGCTATGTTAATCTCTGTGCTCAGGTATGGGAACTGTTGAACAATACAGGACAATGAATATACCTATAAATAGGCAACGCAATAATCCATAAGTTAAGGAAGGCCCTTATCTCAGTAGTGTAAATGTGAATAAGCAACTCTAAAATTAACTTCTATGTTATATTGTCCTGCATCAGTGTTGTAGTCCATAATAAACCATTCTCTGTGTGAGGAAGAAGTTTCTCCTCTAAAATCTTGATATGGTGGCATTCTTCGAACCATTATTTTTAGACTTATTAATGCTTTTCTTTATTACAAATAACTATTAGTCCTCCTATTAACTCAAATCATAATGCCAGAGGAGAATTGACTCCAGGTAAACTTTCATCTTTTTTTTTGGCTTGAGTTTAGGTAAAGAAGGGAGAGTCTCATCACCTGGGGGCTATTCTTTTGTTATGCTGCATTTCTTTTGCACTTTTCCATTCATATTTATCCCAAATCCTGTTGGGTATGCCTAGAAATTAATTTTTTCTATTTATATTACTATGTTCGGAACTGAATGCTTCCAAATGTTGTAATATAGAGCACATCAACTCTAAGCCACAAGTCTCATTCTAAGAGAATTTAGTTTCAAGTTTTGTTTAGTTTAGTGTTTTTATGTTTCAGAAGATGCCCAGTACGGATTATTTGAGGGAGATGGGGACACATATTTATAATTGATCAAGCAAGAACAAATCATGTCTCTTAATTACAAAAACAGAAAAGAAGTAAAAAACTAGTGGTTTTAGATCTGTGCTACAAGGACCTTCTGCACCCGGGGTAACAAAGAGTCATGCTGTATAGAATGTCTAATTCCACAAACTCAGTTTATTTAATTCTCCTTTGTACTGTAACTTAGATGATTCCGTAGTATTCTAATAAAAAAGCATTCCGTTGTATTGGGAAACATGGTCACCCCACTTGTTATTTACCAATTTTCTTTTGATGGTTTTAATATTTTAAGGTTACCTTTTTAATTTTATTCATGAATTTTGTATTTTCCATTTTTCATTTGATGTGTGTAAATTTTACGTATTTTTAAAATAAACCATTTATTTTCAGCTTTGAATTTTATTTTGTGCATGTGTTTATGTCTTTATTTTCATCTTTGGGCATAAATATGGGGATAAAAATAAATGCTTATACTTATAAAAGGAAATCAAATAAGTTACAGTAGTTCAGCTTCTTTCTGAGAGAAATCTGAGAAAGAAGGAAAATTCTTATCAAGAATATTTCCTTTACAAATTAGCAAAAGAATTAAGTGTACTAGGATATCTTGTGCGTATTTGTGTGTGTGTATTGTGTGTGCGTGTGTGTGTGTAGAGGCAGACATAGAAATGCAGGAGAGGATTGATTCCTTTATTAAAAGAAATACAAACTTACTCGTTTTGGTTCATGGGTAGTTATATGAATATTTTATCTTTTAGACTTAATATGACTCCAAGACAGATGCTCTGGAAGGAGATCAAAAGATTAATGCCCTGCATTAATATGTGATAATTTGAATCAGAGAGGCATTCCTATAAAACTTCAAATAAATCACTGAAAAATATTTGGATGTATTTTCTTTTGGGGTGGTAATATTGAGCCCTTAAAGATAAAGGATGACACCTTACTTTTAGGATAATTCCTATTTATATCCACTTATTCAAAGAATATTTGTTGAATCCCTGTAACATCCTCGGAGCTGGTTAACTTGGTAAAAATTTTTCTACTGAAGTACTTGACTTTTGCCAACCAGTACCCATGGTTAGAGTTAAGATCAATCAGTCAAAGTTACAAGGAAGTAGATGTCTGTTCAATTAAGAAACACCTATAGTATAGCTGAACGTTAATGGAATTCACTGTTCTCGTACATGATGCATCTCCCATTGCAGGAGTTACAAAAGAGGCTTCCTGAACTCATGTTAGATTTTACTTGTGAACTTTTTGCATTGGATAAGTAGTGATGAGTCTTAAATTGCTTTCAACCTTAAACACTTATATGACCTTCTTGGACATAGTGTTGACTACTCAAAAGATTCAGTCTCAACATTTTGTTACCACCACTCACCAAGTTATTACTGACCTTGTTAAAAGTCTCAAGATATTTTCTTTAGTCATTTACGGATGCCACTAAGTGTTTCACCCAAGCAAATCCACAGTATCACATGTGAGACACATGTAACAGTATTGCATTTGTAGCACATGTAACTAGACTGTCTTGTTTTTCTGTCCTACCCAAGAGATGTAAAATAACTTTCACAATCAGCTAGGACACTATTTCAGCAATATTTTTTATCTGCTACCGGTTTACACTACACGGAACTTTTAAAGCCTATGTTTCTCATCAATTCATGTAAGGCGATGCTCTACAGTTAGTATTAGGAATTGATATGAATTCAATAAACATTAGTATATATTCTTTCAAATGATGCTCACCAGACATTTTAGGAATAATTTAGTCAAATTATTTATTCAGATGTTCGCTGCATGCTACTCATTCATATAGTTGTCCAATTTGTTTCACCACCCTAGAAGTCTATTCTTAAGTGCAGTTTGTAGGTGACTGAACTCAGATTGAAGGATTTGAAAACAAAAACAATTAATAGAGACAGGGAGATTTTAATGTAGAGCTATCTTCCATATTAGGTGCTCACTTTTTATTACACTTCAAAGCTTAAAGGACAGAAAGAAACAGAAATAGCGTGGGGCATGAGAGAGGTTGGGAGGGAGGGAGAAGAAAAAGTTGCTATTGTTTCTTCCACCAGTATCCTAGATACGGAATAAAATTATAGGAAGATTATGACTTTTAAAGAAGGAAATGTCCCTGCCTATTACAGGGTTCTGTGCCACTACTATGACTTCAAAACCAACTTAGTGCTGCAAAAAAAAAAATTTACCCCATTATTGCACAGCCACATCTTGTTTGAGATAAACAGAAAACAATCTAATTTGCTACTCCCCATGCAAATACTATTCAGTGTTAAGATACGATAATAGCTCTCAATGTCAAGTGGGAAGTTTTGACAATATGGAAGTTATCTTAAACTCTGCCACAAAGGGAGGCGCTTCCTTTACAGTAACAAGTGGGGAGCCCTGGGTCTCTGTGAAGCCTCTTCTGAGAAGCATCTCCTTTTTCACTGGACTACATTTGGAATTCTGCCACGTAGATCTGTATTTACCATTGTCCTCCTTCAAATGTATGTCCTCTCTGTTCTGGAAACATTTACACATTTTTAAACAGCAACAAGCTCTTAAAAGCAGTATTTTTAGATCAAACAAAGGATTGTATTTTCAATTGTGGTATCCCTATTGAAAAGAACATACACTTTTCTAAAGTGAGTTCTGTGTTTTGAGGAAAAACAGCAGACATACCCTGCACCCCTACCCCACACACTTGTGGAATTTGTACAAAATTGCTGCGTTAAATGCCAGCCATGTTGGGCTTTTTTGTGTTTATGAGCCAGAAGAAATAGAAAGGTTTCTAGTCTTATTTTCTCCATTTTATTTCACAAGCAGCTTCATAAATTCTGAGTAGCGCTAGAGAGGACAAAAAGTACCAGAACACACACATGAATTTGAAGATTATTGCACTCAGAGGTTTTATCTTTCTTTTTTTTTTTTTTTTTTTTTTTTGAGACAGGGTTTCAGTATGTAGTTCAGGTTAGCCTTGAACTCACTTTGTAGCCCAGACAGGCCTCAAACAGCCATCCTCCAGCTTCTACCTTACAATAGCTGGGCATACAGTGTTTGCCACCATGCCCAAACACACACAGGTTTTGAACAGAAGTAACAGTTTAAATTTATCTTGCAATTTCAAAACAAAAATGCTCTAAAATATGTTTACATTCTTATTAAGTCAATCAAATGTTCTTGAAAACTGACACCTTTTCCAATTCATATTCAAATCCATGTTAAATTCTCTGATTGGAAACAAAAATTAGGGAAGGTTCGTAACCCCCTCATTCTCTCTCAAGTTCTTAATCGTCATACTCACACCTTCACGCTGTCGTCACAAGCTGAAAAGTGTCTCCAAAGTGTAAGTACAACTGAAGTTTGTCTTTAGAGTCTGTTTTAGGGTTATCAGAGCCATGATTTACACATGTGAAACAACTTTCTTTCGGATAATCTCACTGTTGGAGTTCCTAAATCTCACTGTGCATTAAGTACCGCATTTATTTGAAGAACTTTCTTTTGGGACCTGCCCAAATCCACCTTATTAACTATCAGAATTGAGTGATTTGTAAAAGTCTTAACTAATTGATTGGTTAGTACCCTTTGTCGTTGTTTTGTGGCTGATTTCTGGCCAGTTCTTTACAGAGCACACACACAAACACTCATACATGTTCATGAAAGGACAAAAAAGGAAGGAAGGAAGGAAGGAAGAAAGGAAGGAAGGAAGGAAGGAGGGAAGGAAGGAAGGAAGGAAGGAAGGAAGGAAGGAAGGAAGGAAGGAAGGAAGGAAGGAAGGAGGAAGGAAAAACAATAAACATTATTTGACAACAAAGCCAAGGTTACACCCCTAAGTTAGATATCAAAGGAAATACATAATTTAAGGATCTCAGAAGGCAGTAATTCCTGCTGTATTTGGCTGATCAAAACATCGTGTCTGCTATTCAAATATTCTTAGAAGACCCATACATAAGCAGAATATTCCTCATAGAAAACTATAACAGTGGTGAGGTGAATTTAAATTACATTATGGATGGAATAAGAGAAAAATCCTGAACATATATAGTCTATTGGTAAGGAGAAAACATAGCAGCATTACAACTGTTGTCAAATCCTGCAAACGCTGGGGGTCAGATATGTGACTGGTCAAACCTGCAGAAATGGATATTTCAGAACAACACAGAAGGAGATGCTTTTAGAGTTGGTTGCTTTAAATACCAATTTTACTTACTGATTGATTGATTGAGTGATTGATTTGGGGATGGAAGGAAGACTTTGTTAAAGAAAGGGATGCCAAAATAAGGTTTTGCAGGAGCAGGAAAGGATTGAACTGAATTCCCTCCTCCTCTTTGAAGTTAGTAAATTCCCCTCAACTATGAAAGAGGATGGAGTCAGTGAGATTACTTGATTTCTTGAGTATCGAAAATCTGTATTCTCACATATTTCTCTGTTGCCTGCCCTTTTTAGGTTTGACCATGCGGACCTGGGCTAAAAAGTTTTCAGTCAACATTATACTGTTTTCTCATTTTCCTGTAGATACAGTGGAAGCAGTTTTTGATTTCATTCAGAGGAGCCGGAGGATGATCGTGGTCCTGAGTCCCGACTATGTGACAGAAAAGAGCATCAGCATGCTGGAGTTCAAACTGGGAGTCATGTGCCAGAACTCCATCGCCACCAAGCTCATTGTGGTTGAGTATCGTCCACTTGAGCGCCCGCACCCAGGCATCCTGCAGCTGAAGGAGTCTGTGTCTTTTGTGAGCTGGAAGGGAGAAAAATCCAAACATTCCGGCTCCAAATTCTGGAAGGCCTTGCGGTTGGCCCTTCCCCTGAGAAGTCTGAGTGCCAGTTCTGGCTGGAATGAAAGCTGCTCTTCTCAGTCTGACATCAGTCTGGAGCATGTTCAGAGGAGGAGAAGTCGTTTGAAAGAGACTCCAGAACTGCAGAGCTCAGAGAGGCCCTCGGGGGCCCCTGCAGCCCCAGGCACAGTGTCCAAACCCCGAGGGAAGCCCTCCGCAGCCTGCCGCTGCTGTGTCACCTACTGCGAAGGAGAAGGCCAGCTGAGAAGCAAGAGCCGAGCAGAGATCCACACCCAACCCCAGTGGGAGACGCACCTCTGTAAGCCTGCCCCCCAAGAACCAGACACTCAGTGGATACCAAATGGCACCAGATTGGGACCCCCTGTGTCCCAGATCTCTGCTCTTGCTCTTCACCATTTCACAGATCTCTCTAATAACAATGACTTTTATATCCTATAGTTACTGCGTGGTTATATCCTATAGTTACTGGGTGGTTGCTGCCTATCCCTACCTACTAACCCCTCTTTCTGTCATGAACCTTTGGGAATAATTGACTTTTTATCGTCTAGTGGACTATCAGGTCTGTGTCCCTTTTATTGATTTTTAAAAACTATTTATT